TCATTTAATGAAGTTCGCAAAAAATTTTTTGTATGTTCATGCAAGAAAAACTGCGTTCACAACATGCCGTTGAAGTGCTGAAAGTTAGCATAATCTCTAACAAGACATTTATACTTACCAATTCAGGTTCATTTTCCGGCAAGATTTTTTTATAAATGCTTAAAAATGACTTTGTCCTTAGTTTAGAGACTTTCTCCCTGAATAAAGGCCACTGCAATACACATAAATTAGAAGTTTCTCTGCTTATCATATTATTGTTCTCATAAAAGTTGCAAACACTTTTTATTTCATTAAATCCCCATTTTCTTTATCTCAAGCGACCCAGTAAAGGATTTTGGCCAGTTTTGACAATCAAAGATTGTGGTTAATAATTTTAATGGTTTTTGATTAAAATTGCGGCGGAATCGCTTGTCTATATATTCTTTTGCTCCGTCAATAATTTTAATAAAATGTTTTTTATTATAATAATCAAAATAATCATTTTGTTGTTGTCTAACTAACTCATCAATTCTCTTTAATTTACGCTTTTTTAATGCTGTTAAATCAATACCTTTGTAGATTAACTGATCTTCTTTTACTTCTAAATTATCTAATAAACATCCAATATTTGAGCCTGAATTAACTTTTTTTTTTTTTCTTTTTTTTTTTTTTACATGTTTATTTTACAACTACAAAGTATTTACAAGTAACCAATCACAGATTGGCGGTAAAGATATACAAGTAAAAATATCATAAACATAAAGTACGAAATATACGAAGTAAACAAAAATATAGTTGCATACTTATATATATCATAGAAGAATTACTTGTTAGTAGTTATAGGAAGCTCGCAGAAGACTAAAGTCAGTCTTGTCATCGAGTACCTTTTTCTGATGTAATATATATGTATGTTGTACATAGATACCTTGTTTGTAATATTATAATTTTTTTTTATAGATTTGTATTAAAAGTTAAGCTACATTTTTTTAAATTTTTTATTAATATTTAAAAAAATTTTTTTATAGTTGTTTAATTTGATTATTGTAGATTTTAGCTTTATTTTCAGAGAGTGTTCGTTGTTTAGGTTTAATAGTGATTCGTTTCTTGGAAACTAATTTGTTAAATAAATAGGGACCACGATATGTAATTGAGAATTTTGAGAGTCTTGTTGTTTTAAACAGTATCTTAAAGTTGCCTCTTGCTCTTGTATTATATTTATTTATATTGTTTTTAAAAAAGTGTGCTGTAAAATGCTCTGGAACCAGATTTAGTTTATATTTAAACATGAAAAGTATATTTTGAAAAATATTTATTTGAAATATATTTAGTGTGCTCATTTGTTCCAATAAGGGTTGAGCATGAGCAGATTTATTTTTGTTGTATACTTGTCTTGAAGCGTGTTTTTGACGTAGGTAAAGTGGTTGTAATTTAGATTTGTTGGTACTGCCCCATGCTATATTGGCATACATCAGATGCTATATTGGCATACATCATATTACAGATGCACCATCAAAGTTAACATTTACAGTTTTTCCATAGATATTGTTTAAATATAAATCTTGATTCATTTTGTTGTTATTAAACTTTTTAAAACTATTCTATTTAAAATACCATTGGCATCAACAATATCCAAAAAAGTCTGTTCAATTCTTCTTGGTTATTTTCAGTAGTTCTCAAAATTGTTGTCGATACACAGGACCGGCGCAAGTAGGTGTTGCGTGGGGGGTAGGGGTGCCATTACAACTTTTGCCGTCAAAAAAAAAAAAAAAAAAGTTTCTTGTTTTCGAAAATTTGCCGACTTCCATGACGACATTTGCCGACTAACTATGTAAATTACCGACTAGCCTATATTGAAAGGGTCAACATTTGCCGACTAACTAGTCAAAAAGGGTCAAATTTGCTGACTAAAAATCATTGAGGGGGGATGTGTCACCCATACAATATTTTTAGGATACACCCATCTTTCCCCCCCCCACCCACACACCCCTATCACGTTGGCCTTGTCAATACAGTTTTCTCAAGAATTGGAGCTATATTGTGAATGTTCTCTCGATATTTATAAATACAGGCTTTACGCCCATCATCTTTATTGTGGCATAATAAATATGTTCTTTTCCAAAATTTACATCCCATTCTTACTGAATTGGTTGCATTGCTAATATTTCGATACTTTTGCAAAAGTAATCAAATTAGTGTTTCTCTTGCTGGGTTTGCTAAGTTTGGCAAACCCAGCAAGAGAAACACTCATTTGATTTGTCAATATGAATCCAGCTTAGTTGTTGCCCTTGTTTTTTATTGCTTGGCGGCAATCTATTTATGGTGTTCCAAAACATAAATTCAATATCTTTTGGTCATATATCCAATTTTCCCAAAGTCATAGCACAATCCAAGTCATTGCACTTTTTTTTTCGCATGTTAAGTTTCTCTCTCTTCTTCTCCTTTACGTTTAATGCTACGTTCCTCTGTACCATCTCTCTTTAATATCGAAAAGATGCTTAGTTGTTTTGACATTTTTTAAAAACTTTAAAAATAATAGTATATTAAGTATTTAATAATAAGTTAATAAAAATATCGTATTATTGGTGTTGTTAAACGCACAATAAAAAAATTAAAGTTTTAACAAACATAATAACTTTGTATATTCTATTAGATTATGTATTTTTTAGCAAAACTTGAACATTATTTTTAAAACTTTTATAAGTTTTAAAATGCAAACTAACATAACTTCACTTTAAGGAAAATAAGAAAAAAAACACGCTATTAAAAAAAGCAATTGTTGATAAGCATGTTTTTTTTTAAAGTAATTGCAAATGCAGTCATTTTAAATAAAATTTTAAATGCTTTTTTAAACGCATGCAAAAACCATGCTTAATTTTGAGAACATTTGAAAAAGTAAAAAAAAAAAAGAATAATTGGACCCATGAGAGACAAATACAAAAAAAAAAAAAAAAAAGTAAAATATCTTTAAACGCGAAAAAACTTTAAGCTTAATAAATTACATTTAAAACAAATATTTTCGAAACATCGCTTTTTTATAATTTTTTTTATAAAATTAAGCGATGTTTTTTGTAACAACTTACGATTGTTTAAAAGGGAAACAAATATTCTTTATTTAACTAAGTTTGCAAGTTTTAGTTTTACTTAAGCTTAATTTATTTTATAAATAAAAAAGTTAATTTTTTTAACACCCATTTTATGTTTCGGGTAGTTTAAAAAGTTTAACATATTTGAAGCGAGTCTTCTTAGTAAGATAAACAAATGAAATAATTAAATCATCGAATTACTATAGGAGTTAAATTATCAACATAGAAATCAACTAAAAAGGTTAAAAATACTTAATGACCAGGAAGCGAAACTGCTTCACAATATCGCTGATGATGTTTAGTGAGTGGGCTTTTTAATTTTAATTAGTATTTAAAGCAGAAAAATGTATAACGAGTTTTAAGAATGGCAACTTAAGCGAAAATAATTAGAGTTAGTAAACCAATATCTAGAAACTTTTCTTTATATCTAATTATTTGCTATTATATATTTGTGTTCTGTCGTGACCTAAGGCGCGATGCTTGTTTATCCGTGAGTTACTTTGTATGCGTTGTTTGTGTTTAGTGACCAGAAACTTCTTATATGTTTGTTACATAATTAGTTTTATTAACTTTAACGATTATAACTTCATTGAAAACGCAATTATTTTTCTAAGTCTTTGTTTAAATCATAAAAATTGCTTTAAAAGATTCAAAAGATCAAAAGACATTACATAAAAAACAAATACACAAAATTACATTTACATAAAGAATACATTCTCTTTTAAAATAAAAAATAAGAATATACAAATAAAATCTATGATTTATAATAAACTTTTAAAATTTTGACAATTTAATTAATATATATTTAAAACAATTATTTTCGTAAACAAATAATATATATTCTTAAAACAATGCTAGAAATCTCAAAACAATAGTTATATAAGAACAGTAGTTTATTTTTTAACCAGCTGTTTTAATTAAGATTAAATATACTTATATTTATTTTACAAAATGATTGAGAAATGCTTGTGTTTTTAAAATGCGTTAATAATACTTGTGTTATTTACAATTTTAATGTATGCTTTATTTATATTTTTAATGTTTTTGGTCTTAGTTACATTAGTTCAGGTATTAGAAATACAATGGCAAACAAATGATTTCAACATTTATTAAATGGAAAGTTGAAGAGGTAATAGGCTTTAGAACTTAAATTACCAACAGAATTACATACGTTATTGAAATTTACTGTAAAGTTTGTACAAGAAATAGAGAAGCTGTATTACAAGGTTGTAAAGGTTTGATACGACAATGTTCTTTACGGTTTATTGATGGGATAAACTTTGTGTTGATCCACACAATTCAAAGACATTTTGAAACAGTTTCTCACCATACTGCAATAAGGTGTGAGACTGAGAAAAATCAAATATTTATTGTTATTATTTATTTTTTACCATAAAAAGTTTAAAAAAAAATCGCTATCTGACACAAACAGTATGCAAGAAGTTTGGAAGTATAAAAATCTACTTCGTTGAAGTAGTTTCATAAGCGTGATACTAATTCAAACATTTGTTGACAAAAGAATGCTGTAACAAATAAAAAGATATAAAAAATAAAAAGCTTTTTATGAGCATCGTCTTCAGCAATTTTCATTTCCCGCTTGCCCATGTTATCTTAAGCGCACATAATCACGCTCGATTAAAACATATTATAATTTTACGAGTGCAATATAACACGCTTGACGATTTTCTTCATCACAAGCCCTGCTTTTGAACCTTTTCAATATTCTGTTAACTGTTTTTTAAAATAAAGTTAATGTAACACCAAGGGTTTAGTTATAAATTTTTATCATAATTAAACATTAATATTGATTATAATATATAAATTAAAAGTATCTTATCAATAATTAATTTCTGATTTTTTTATTTTATTTTTATCTATAGTTTAAACATAAAGTTATAGGTAATTGAATGAATTATTATAAATTGATTTGATATCTAGATAAGATACATTACACAAACCGAAGGTCTTCCGCCTCAGCATCTATTGCAAGCTGCCGCACCATCAAAACGAAATCGATACTTTAAAAGAGTACTTGATATGTATGGGCAGTATGAGTGGGTACTCAAGGTAGGTTTTTTAAAATATAAAGAATGAAAGAATATTATGCTTACTTCGGCTTAGTAGTACCCAGACAATAGATAGTCTTGTGCCTTTACCATTATTATATTTTCTGGGGAAGTTTCAAGGTAAACTTAAATATATATTTTTCAGGATGATCAAACCTGAAAAATATATATTTAAGTTTACCTTGAAAATTTCCCTGAAAACATAAATCTTTTTAGGAAATGGCTGACTTTTCCCTTCAAAATGCATATTTGTGTGGTCTTGTAAAACGAATGCCTGTTAATCAAAGGAGATCCAGAAATGCTATTAACAAAAAATGCTATTAGCAAAAGTGGCTTAAGTCAATTTACATTGTTGTAACTCCATAACAATTTAAATTATTAAATAGTATTTTATGTTTATAAGTTACCCAAGGAATTATTTCTTAAGATGTATCCTTTCCTACTAAATAAATGTAACCAATTGGGGAGTTACTAAAAGTTGCAAAATTTGATGGAGAATCCAAATATGTTTTTAAAAATTGAATTAAAATTTTTTTTGCTTAGGTGATTAAACTTTTTTTATTTCAATAAAATTTTGACCTGGTTTCTCAAAAAAACCCGGTTTTTACTTGGAAATTAATAAGCTTTTTTTCTACTTTGTTTGATAAATATCAGTTGAAATATAAATGTTGACTAAACTAATTTTAGATATTATAGTACTTTCTTTAAGAATTTGTATAAAATATAAATAAAATATTTTTAATTTCAAAATTAGACTTTGAATTTAATTGTTAATATGCATATTAATTTATAACTGAGATTAGATTGAGATTAATTTATAAATATTAAAATATTTTTCAATGTATTTTAAATACAGCTTGTCTTAACATTGTGTAATAATTTTATTGGTATTGATGCTAGATATACAGCAAGATATAAAAAAAAAACCCGAATTATTTCAATAAATATTATTAATTTAATACTAAAACATTTGTGTCAAACTTTCAAGGTCTTGTTTACTATTATTTTTAGGCATTAACTTTCTACTCGCCTCTTGAGTTTGGACAAATCCTTCTCTCTTTCCATGAGTGTACACTCTACTTGAAGCTTCAGTAATTTGCTTTACGCAACGTTCAACAGATTGTCCATAACATGGCCAAATCGGCACCTGCAAAGGATTTGATAAAAACACATTAATTTCAGAAGTTGTTAGAGAGGTAGTTAAGGCTGGTTCATAAACCGGTGACTCCCATGATATTAGGTCTACCAATTTTTCAGCATTAAAGTTCAGAACAGGCGTTTTTCTTGGTCTAGGAGAGGAATCACCTTTTTGTAGATCTTCATTTCCAGTACCTCTAATATCTTTTATCTTATTAATAGCTACACTTCTATCCTCTTCAGTATTAGAACACAACAATGTTTGTAGTATACACTCACTGAAACAAAACCAAGCTGATCTTTGAATAGAGGGTGATACTATTTTAATGACATCTTCTTTTTGAAATTTAAGTTGCTGCAGTTTGTAAAGTACATGTTTAGGATCTTCAATCCAAGAGTGTTCAACTTTAGTCTTAAACCAGCAAGGAAAATAAACACCTACAATGTGCTCGGTGATAGATCTTAAATTTTCTAAATCTCTACCTTGAATTCCATGTTTAGAGATTCATATTCTACATATTCTGTTAGCAGTAATTAACCATCTTGAATGTGAAACAGGCCCAATTTGTAATAAATGAAACTTTGGTGGTAAAATACCACTTCTAATGGTACAAACAACTTTATAACCAAAAAATTGATCTGCAGACAAATCATTTATTATTTTATCATCGAGAGAAACAAGTAGATTGCAAATTTTATAAGTTTCAAATACTGGATTTATATCTAG